CACTGCACTCCAGTCTGGGTGACAGAGTGAGACTCCAACTCAAAAAAAAAAAAAATGGACGAGCTCAAAAACTGTTTTGAGCAGTGGAAAAAGCATCTCAATAGGTGTATTGCATCAAACAAAGAGTACTTGGAAGGTGACTGGATACACAATTTTTATAAGCAAATTCCAGGTTTTTGGGGTGAGCAGACCTTCTACTCACTCTTCTCCCTGGCAGCCGTGCACCACCCTCTGCCAGCCACCTGTAGCCCCACACATGGGTCAGTACAGCCTTCCTCCCAGGCCTGGGAACTCTCATTTCCTGGGGCCTCTTTATTGAAGGCCCACACATCCTGAACAGCAGATCCCTCTGGGGCCCATTCACCCTCAGGCTTCCATGCACATACCTCCAAATCCGTGTATTCTGCCGTCAACCCTGTACACCCTCATCCTAAACCCGCGCACCCTTCTTCTCTAAACAAGGACAGCCTTGCTCCCCAAGCCTCTACTCCTACTTTCTGGAACCTGGACTCTACATAACGCACCTCCTGAGCCTTCAAGCATGCACCCCAAGACCCTGACCATGCTCACCCCCCAATCTGTAGCTCCTCCTACTCTAAGCCTGTAGATCATCTCCCAGGTTTTTTTGTTTGTTTGTTTGCTTGCTTGCTTTTTGAGTTAGAGTCTCACTCTGTTGCCCAGGCTGGAGTGCGGTGGCATGCTCACAGCCACCTCAGCCTCGACCTTCTGAGTAGTTGGAATTACAGGCACGCACCACCACACCCGGCTAATTTTTTGATTTATTGTAGAGACAGGGTCTCACCAAGTTGCCCAGACTGGTCTCAAACCTCTGAGCTTAGGCCATCCTTTCACCTTGGCCTCCCAAAGTGTTGGGAGGACAGGCTTGAGCCACAGTGACTGACCTCTTTTTTATTTTTATTTTTATTTTTTTGAGGCAGGGCCTCGCTCTTTCATCCAGGCTGGATTGCAGTGGCACAATCACGGCCTTAACTTCCTGGGCTCAGGTGATCCTCCCACCTCAGCCTCCCCAGTAGCTGGGTCTACAGGCATGCATCACCGCACTCGGCTAATTTTTTTGGTAATTTTGTAGGGATGAGGTCTCGCTATGTTGCCCAGGCTGGTCTCTAACTCCGGGGCTCCTGCCTCGGCCTCCCAAAGTGCTGGGATTACAGGCATGAGCCACCATGCCCAGGCTGTCTCCCCAGTTTTGAACACCCTGACCCCTGAATCTGCACTCCCTTCTCAAAAACCCTGTACCCAAGTCACCTGCACGTCTTACAATCTCCCAACTCCTGACTGGGACCTCCAGCCTCCACCCCAGACCCATTATCCTTTCCCCCGCCCCCCACCCGCGCACCCTCCACATCAATGTTGAAGCCACAGCTGTCGCAGGCGTCCTTGGCCTTGATCTCGAGGCGGTAGTCCCCACGGTCGCCCAGGACCACCTTCTGGATGTGCAGCTCCAAAGTGTACACCTGGGGGCCGGGTCAGGGATGTGGGTGAGGTGGCCACCCCCTAGAGCCGCCCACATGCTCAGAGCCCGCTGTACAAGGGTGTCCAGGTCCCCACCCCCACCCGTCCCCCGGGGCCTCGGTGTCCAGCGGCCAGCCTGACCGGCCTTCCCTCGCCCTGGCCCCTCTCCACTCCCAGGACCCGAGTCTCAGACTCCCTGAGACCTTTCTGGGGTTGCCCACAGCTGCGCCAGGCGACCTGCCCTCCCCACCCTCCCCTATCCCGGCACAGCCTCTAAACCAGTGGCCCCTTGCCAAGCCCAAGCCCCCTCGGAGTCCTCACATTGCTGGCAGCATCATGGGTCTCCTTGAAAGAGAAGCGGGCACCACTCTTGCTGCCCAGCTCCAGCCACTTGCCCTTGAACCACTTGATGGTCGGCTTGTCGGAGAGCTCCTTCCCATTCACCTTGGCCACGATCACCACATCCTTTCCTGGGGGGGGAGGGGCAGGAGGGAGGGAGGGGCCGGGCAGGAAGCTAAGGT